TAACACTCACTACTTCTTTCAGTTTTAGTCCCATCTCTTCAGCCACTTGATTCATCGGTTGCTGCCCCATTCCCTCACCCTCATTCCTTTCATTCCCTTTTCTTTGGCTAGACTCCTGTAGATTCAAGTCTTCCTCAGTGTAACCATCTTCTGCCTCTCTCCTAGTCAGCTCCTCAAAGGAATTGCAGACTAAATCCTAGATTTTATCACCTTGTGCCTTCCATTCAGCCTCCATACTCCCTACATTAAACCCTTATTCCTTATCTCTAATCAGAACCTGCTGGAATGTGGCAGACAATGGAAGGGACTGGATAAAATCTGTTGCACTCACAGAAGACTCATTAGTATTCTTAAAATCAAAGACTAACATACCTGGAGAGGAGGGTTTTGATGAAGGACTACCATAGAAGGTTTTTGTCTTGGGACTAGACCTACAAAAACCAGTTTCCAGAGGTTAAGTGTTAGACTGAGGTTGAAAGGGCGGATGAACTTGAGAAGTCGACGCCCCCTTACTGGTTACACCCCTGCTTTGCTTAGAAAAACAGTTGGAAACCAAAACTGCACCACCCTGCACCTGTTGGGACCTTGAGATAGCTTCCGGATCCCCCAGGCAGTGTCCAATACCTAGGTTGGTTGGCATCTCTTCTTTCCTACCCACCTCCAAGTTGGCTTCAGAGGAGATGATAACAGTCTCACCGTCATCTTTTTTGCCTTCGTCTTCCTCCAAGAAAAGCTGCTCTGTGCCGAAACTTTCATCCCCTTGAAACCCAAGGGATTTCTCTAGCCGAACACTCCCAATACTTGAAGTTTCAGATTCGTCAAACTCAGAATCATCCTAACTGAGTTCCAGAAAATCGTCCTCCTCTGCTACACCCCCTGTTAAACCAGCTCTTTTGTTTCTTGGATTACGTCTTTCTGGTGAGCCCAGCTCCGACGCTGACACAGGTCTCCACTGCAACGAGCTGAAACTCCCAGGACCTCCCCTCCCTGCGTCCCTTCGAATTGGAGAAGATGATGGACCAAATTTAGTGTCCATCATCAGTCCCTTTAAATGACCCACGTGGTCACGTGACTTAAAATTAAAAGGGCTGACCGGGCTGGACCCAAACACACCTTTAGGGGCCTGTTGAGAATCGAGTTTTGATGTAACTCGGCCCACCCCAACTGCCCTCTTATGGGCTGCAATAAAACTCTTTTTAGGCCCATTAGCACAACTCTCCCTGCGGCTAAGACAAGTTCCCTCTCTACTTGTGCCCATGTGGCCCTCTTCTCTTACCACCTTACCCCCTTGTTTTTTTAAAGAAAGTTTCAGTCCTTACTCTCCACCTTGACAATAACCCCTCTTATTTGGTGAAACTTGTCGAGTAGCCTTCTCCCTACCTCCTCTTTCTGTCAGAACCTGAGCATAAGACCTGTAGCTTACCTCCTTTTTCTCTTCTCCTAATGGCTCTTTCCCCTTGGTTGCTGGAAACTTTCCTTTAGAGATATCCTTTCCCAAGAATACCATTTTAGTGCAAATGTCAGCCAGATTTGAATACACCAATCCCTTACTTCCACATAGCCTTTCTTCTTCAACCTTCTCATCCTCCTTCCTTCTCCCCTCACTCCACAAGGCAACTTCAATGGCTGTAACCAGCCAGGCTACATAGAACACTCCATCAACCATCAGTTTTACTGAACGAGGGATATCTTCCAGATGCACATTCCTCAAGCAAATTGCAGCTGAATGGAGGTCTTCCACAAAGGAACCTTCCAATCTTGCCTTACACAGAGCAGCTATAAAATCAAACACCTCTGAGGTCCAAAGATGAAACGGCAGACCCAAAATCCTTACTATTACTTTGTCCCTTGCATGCAGATCCTTAGAGTTTGAATGAGGTGTCCATTTTGTGATAGATACAGAAGCTGAGTTCAATTTACAACACAAAGCACAGAGTTGTAACTCCTCTCCAACTACCTCAAGCAAGGCCTTACAAGACTCAAAGGGGGTTAAGATGATAGTACAGTGCAAGTTTAACTTCTTTAACAACTCTTCTGCAACTGTCCTCCAGTTTTTTGGAGGTGCTGTAGAAGTTACTATAAACTTTCTTGAGCTCATTGCAAATCATTCTGCAATCTATTGCTGCTTTACCCAGAATTTGTGTGCCTGCAACCTCTGGCTGAAGCTCTTGTTTCCTAGCTCCACCAACTCCAATCCTTACCTGTAAATGTTCTTCCTTCTCAGAGCTGCTACCTTCTCCAAATCCCTCTCGGGTAAAGAAGTCCTTCAAAACATTTGACACTTCTTTCCATCCAATCCCCAACTTTCCTTCAGGAAAACAAACCATTTGTTTTTTTCCTATCCCCAAAAAACTCCAGCAAAGCCACAAACCTTCCTCTAGAGTTCTTTCTCCTCTCTGCTACAAATTTCCTACCAGTAATCTCTTTTGATTCTTTGCACTCTAACTTTCCACTTACCTGAACTGCTTTCTCCAAGAATGTCCGGAACCAAACTACAGCTTCTTGCCCGAACAGTAATACCATGGCCTTGTTTAGTTCTCTAATTTTGAGAGCTTTCTTCCCTTTCACCCTAAAGCTTTCAAAAAGAAACTGCTTAGCCTCAACCTTCAAGGTCCTTCTCCAGCTTGTTGCCATGATAAACTCTCCTTCCTCCATGATAAACTCTCTAATTTTGAGACCTTCAAGGTCCCTTAACCTTGGACACCCCCCCACCCCACCCTCAGCCAAGGGGTACTCTCTGGAGCTGTCTCCCCTTTACACAATGTTGGGTAGTTTGGAAAGAGAGGAGACAAAGAATTTTTGAATCCAAACCTGAGCCGTTGGAGGCAGTTATCGGTAGAGTTGAAAGGATGCTGAAAGGCTGGGCTGGCCGCTCAAATCTTTTTGTGGGAGTTCCAGCCAATTATTTTTATGATCATTGGCTGTCCATTATCTTTTGAGTTTTTGTTTTTTTTTTTTTGATATAGGATCTGAATGCATATCATCTGTACATATCGGCACACTTTTTTGTATATGTGGTTGAGGGATCCTCACCCTCCCCTTTTTTTCACAGAATAATAATACATCTCATTACCACCTTTCAAAAAGGGCACTGCAACTTTTTGAAAGTTGGTAACTTGAAACAAGTTATGGTAACTTGAACCATGAAGGATACCCATGCAACTTGAAACAAGTATGCCTGGTGGGCCTCTTTCCCATAAAATAGTCAGCAACCAAGTTATCTTTTGTCTTCCTTGCTCACAACTTGCTTCTTTCCTAAACTTTTGCTTCCACCAGCCATAGAAGCAAGTCTTGAGTGCTCAGTCTCAGTCTTCATAACAACCCTTTTGGATGCCTCCTACTGAATAATAGAATATCCCTCATCAATGGATGGGATGTCTCTTCTTCCCAATAGTTGCATTCTAATAATCTCAAAATCTGAATTCGTTAAGAATTCAAACTCTTGATTTTGATTTTTGAGAATTTTATATTGCGTTGCATCCTGGTCATTCCTCTAATGTAGTACCTTATAGCAATCTGAGTCTTCCTATAAGGCTTGTAAGGCAGCATAGTAAGCGGCTAAGACTCATCCCCCTTTTTAAGATTAGTAATCTCTTGCCTAAGGTGGAAGATCTTTGCCCTATTCTTCTTTTGTGAATATGTCTTATTCACTCTTTTCCAAATCTGTGCAGCTGTCCCAAGGAGACCAGGACTAATTTGATGAGTAATGGAATTCTACAACCAAGACATAATGATCATGTTTGTCTTATCTCACACTTTCAACATTGTATCATCTTCAACAAGCTTCTTAGTTTCTCAGTCAAGTGGCCAAGTTTCCCTTTGCCACCAAAATATACTTTCACAGATTGAGTCCACTCAAGAAAATTAGTTTCATCAAGCTTGGTGGTGGTAATCTGCATGTTATCGTTCTCAGGCCCCCTTGTAGATATAGTGGTCATAGACCTAGATGAAGTGGTCAACACAGGCTTGGTTCAGATCAAGGAAATCAGGTCTGATTGCAATCATCAACCAAGACAACACTAAAACAGCCCCAAAATAGATATTTCTGGAAATGACATTAAAATATACATAGAAAAAATATAAAAAAAATCATTCCATCACAATAAGTAAATAAATAAATAATAAAGGGATTCCAATTTCTAAGTAGATAAAAAGCTCCTTGATCAATATCAATTGACTCCAAACATAAAGCATCACCTTGTTGTCCTCCATGATCAGAAAACCCAGATCTAAACATACCTGATTTTCACAAAAATGGGAAAAGTATTGAATCTTAGTATCATACTAATTGGGCTCCCTGATCATGCTTAAAAACACCTTAAATTATCCTTGATTAAGGGGTAAACTTCCCTGCACTGTCAGCCAGTATTCTCAAACACCCATGCTATATGAACTGAGATGAACTGTTGAACCTGAGCGAAAAAGAGACCAATGGGTTCTAAACCTGATCTGGTACCATCATAAACTATAGTTGTAATATATAAATGCTGTGAGGTTTTGGTTTAATCAATAGAAAGTGTGAAGGAAAAGAGAAGAATAAGAGAAGAGATTGATCAAATAGGGTTGGATACCATAGAGGTTGGCCCACCCTCACTTACATACCTTATCATTTAAAAAAATGAGAAATTACAAGATTACCTTTCCTTAAGTAACATATGACAGCTATGTAGAATGACCCAAAAGCCCCTAAGATCAGAGATAAAAGAATACATGAAAAAAATCCATATCTCACCACTTTGCTCCTGCATCACATGCATTCTGAATTCAGCTTCCCTACCTAAAAGGAGAGCTGTGCTATTAATCTAGCAGTGGTTAAGGTATTGCTAGACAGAACAAGGACCACTAAGTTATTTATTTATTGTGTGTTTATTCATTAAGATTGATAGATTCAGATGAACTTGAATTTGATGTAAAGATTTACGGGGCATAATGCATAAGTATCTGAATAAGCAAGTCGTCATGCTCTCAGTGTTGAGAATTGAGATAAAACTTGAATGCAGGTTGCATCCAAGAAAAAAAGTATAGCAGATGAAGCTGGGGCGATCTTGCAGGCAAAGTTACGACAGGCGGCTCCAACCACATAGACAATCCTGAATTCTGCTTTTTTGACCAAAATCTTGCTCAGAATAATTTTGTGAAAACCAATCAGAAAAAAAAGAGTTATTCTGTGAAGTTAGAACTGATGCATAATTGCAGGAAATGGTTTTCTCACTCAATTTTTTCCCGAGCTGAAAGCATAGGTAATTGAAATTCACTGTTTCGGGGGGACTGGATGCAGATCTATACTTGCACGGGGCACACTTAGTTGTAGTAGTAAATGAGTACAAGTTTTCTTTTTGAAATGTTCAAAGCCACTTTGTATTTAGAAATTAGATGTTCCCTGTTGAAAGCGTTGAACCTCTTGTCGTCTTCTTTGTTTCCATCCCTTTTTTTCCTTTTATTTATGCCTCTTATCTTATTCTGAGACTTGTGTTTAAACTTTAAAGAGTTAAGAGGTTTTCTTTACATGTCCTTTTACTATTCCCGTTGTGTTTGCAAGCAGGTCTTGGCTATGGATTCCTTTTTTGTCTAAATAGTGCATATCCTGTTTACTGTATTAGCAGAGTTTTTAGACACTGTAATTAGATCAGTTTTGATTTACAGCCTGAGCCCTGAGGTTCCACTTCCACCCATGTCGTTTATGACTTCATGAGAGTGATCTTTCCGAAATCCAGGCTATTTCCATCGCACCAATAAAAAGAAACAGCAACTTTTGCTGGGCGTTGGAAGAACCACCACCCAGTACGCACCTTGTGCAGTCAGTTTGATTGGAGATAATATATCCATATCTGGGTCGGACGGCGCCTTGACAATATAGCTTCTATGTGTGACGATCCGATCCCGTTCCTCCATATTAGCCCAAAGTTGCAGAAATGGTGCCAAGTCAGATCCTGTCTGTCAATATGTGGTTCTGTGAAGCTTTATTAACTGCAATTGGGTTTGGGGTCCAATTCACCTCTTAGATCCGTCCTTGCCCTACCATAAACATTTTTACCATGGGTTTGAAAACCGGACAGGAAATGGAACCGCTTTGACCACTCCTTTCCAGTTCCCTGTTCAAATGGTCCGACCGTCCAGTCTGAAGCCCAGTTGGATGGTTTTGGGCTCTAAAACCAGACTCTGACTCATAACTAGTTCCTGGTTCAACTGGTCTGGTCTAGTCTGGTTTTGTAAAGATGTGAAATGAAGGGACTAAATTTTGGGATGGTTGTATGATTGTATCGATGTGAGGCCAAGGTAGGTACCACATTATATGACAAGGATAAATGGGCAAACATGTTCATAAACGCGTTATATTTAGACGTATAATTGGATGGATTGTATGCAAATGGATTGAAATAGTCTGTATCCAAAGAATCTTAGGATGGGTTTTGAGCCCCCAAAAAATTATTTTAGATGATTTTCATGAATCACAAATTTCATTAGAAATAGTTCTTTCAAGGCAAAGCATGCCAGATGTTATCTTAGACATATTTGATTTGTCTAAAATAACTGGATATCCAGACCCGGTTCCGGTGGATAGTAACAAGGCACAAAGTGTCAATATGTTTTATGTATCCATAGTTTCTAGTTACGATACTCTTTTTTTTTTATATATTTTTTAAATGATATGTTACATTATGGATAAAGATATTAAGGGGGCGTTCTTTTTTTCGGATTTTGAGAGGGGGAAAAATCCCATTGATCAACAACCCCATGTTCTGTTTTTCAGATTTATGTGGGGATCAAGGAAAGTTTATTTGTCTAGGTAAGTGATATCCATCTCTTAGGTGGGTAAATTACTTTCCCACATAAGGGAAAAGTTGCTAACACTTGAATGAGACAAAAATGCCATTTTTAATAATGGGTTTTTATGGATAAAATGGTTCTTACCCGGGTGAGAAATAAAAGAACATGGGTAAATGCACTTACCCGGGCAAGTGTTTTTCAGGAAAAACTTACCCAAGTAACTGCATTTACTCAGGTAAGTAACTTATCGAAAAATGAACAAGGCCTAAAGTGTATTGATATTTCAATTTCAACATGTTAAAAGGCCCCAACTCTCAATAAACAGTGTATGAGTGGGTTCACAAACTGAAACGTATTGATTGACACAACCGATATTGTGATATTTTGAACCTTGGTAAATAAACGAGGGGAGGAATGTGCCCAAGAGACTGATATAGGCAAGGTTTGTGGTGTTGATTTTTTAGGTTAGTACTTAGTAGCATGGGTGGAATGGTCGAAACTCCATTGAGTTCCACCTGTATCCATAGTATTGAGTCTATTGACTTATACATTGTCCTGTATAGGTCTGTATTGGATCCATATTGGCTGATATGTTAGGTTTTTTGATCCATTCTCTGTCCTCACATTTTCTCTCACCAATTTGTAGGATAAATCTATGTTGCTGGAAAGATATGCAGAAAAGCCAACCGATAAAAACCATGTGAATTTTTTTATGCATACTAAGACCAGTTGATTGATTATAAGTTTGTTTAGATATTATGCCTAGTATCATAGTCAGACCCTATTTTTTTTTATATTTAGCTATTACAATTACTTTGTCATTAATTTTAACCCACTCCATATAATTAGGATAATTAAACTAAGGCTTGGACGATGATGAATTACTTTCTATGTTTAAAGCAATTTTTTAAATTCAAATATATCTCACTCCTATCTCCCTTATTAATTCTTATATATTTGAATATTAACTTTTAGGCTGTGTTTGGTTTGAAAGAAAAGATAGGGAAACGAAGGGAATTCACTTGTAACCAATAAACTGGTACAAATAGTAACTAGTAAACATCGAGTGGTATTTATCAAAATTAACGGGAAGGTTTTGATTTGTGAAACCCCTTCCAGTATTATGTCTTTCCAACATCATAGATTTTTTCTAACTCTTATATTCAAAGCATCTTTTCAAATTCAAATTTGCTTAGTTGACTTTTCTAGTATAAAAAACTACGAAAATTTGAACCTTTTGTCTATTGATTGAAAGACAACAAACCTACCACTATGCCATTCTCTAGTTATTTGTTATAATTATATCTATCATTAATCTTAGACATTCTCTTCTTAGTGGATATTATCTATAAATGTGAAAAATTGATTATTAAAATAATAAAATTTATACATATTAACAAAAATTATATTGGTATTTTGAGAATTGGGATATACTTATATGGGTTCAGACTTCAGACTGTGCTAGTGGAAAGACATGATACCGGAAAAAACTTGTAACCCGTTCTGGCCACCAGTTTCTGGGTCGACAGTCTGATTGTCCGGTTCGAACGGATGGCCCGTTCTGACAAACAAATTAAAAAATAAAAAAAAATACAAAAAACAGTCAAAACTGTTGAACAGGTCGACGGTTCAACCGCCCAGATCAACGGGTTATTGACTTTTTCAACAGTTTTTAGCCAAAGACCAGGTTTGGAGTAAAATGAAACCGGTTGCCTAAATGGTTCCCGGGCCAAACGGTCCGACCATCCGGGTCAACGACGGTTCAAAAACCTTGCATAAAACTATTACTGTGTTTCTTATCTGTGTACAGTTTTACTTATAATAATCTAAAACTCATTTAGATTACTAATATGAATTCCATCAGTATTGATGCAATGAGTCTCAACTTTCTTGCATATGATGAACAATTAAAGTTTTCCATGGTTGAATCTTCTGATGACCCGCATCATAGGCTTGAAATCCGCGTGAGGTAGCCACTAGCCACGCACACTGCTTTGTAAATCCCTTGCTTAGATGTTACTGGTAAATTAAGAGAAGGAATTGTGGACTGGTAACGCGCATCTAGCTTCCCCATTGTTTCCAGGTTTTCTGTGCTGCTCCCAACTGTTCAGGGTCTTGTGAGGATGAACTGGATACAAACCTAAGCAATGGTCTGGTTTTTCGATTGCCTCTCCAACAGGATTAAATCATGGAAAAGTAGAAACTACACAGAGAATAACTCAGAAGCAGAATGCATTTACCTAATATAAGTAGTACACAATCTTCCACATAGAGTCATAGATAATGATAGTTCACTGAAGATCAAGTATAAAAAAGTTCATAAACCGCCAGTCTCTCCCCTCCCCAGCCATTTCAGTCTTCCCAAATTGCTTTTAGAAGATTCCTTTCCACCAGCCTTGTAAAACCTCATCTTCTTCTTGATCTCCAACCATAAATCATCTATCATCATCCATGCTTTATCCCAACTATATGGGATCAGCTACATGAATCTTGTTTTTCCAATTCATGCTTAATTTTTTTTTCATGCTGCTTCTACTCATGTCTTTTTTGGAATACTCCGAGCTCTTTAATGGTCTAACCCCTTCAATATGTGACAAACCACTTTTTCTTACTGGTGCAGTTGATGGTCTTCCATGCATGTGCCCAATCTCCAACCATAAATGAGAATCCTAATTTCCAACAGTGATGTTCCCAACTGTGAGAGAACTTTGGCTCCTATTAAATTGTAGGTACAATCACCTTTTCACTGTGGATTTAAGGCCACCTCATCGAGCATTCAAAAATTTTGACAAAAAACAAGGAGGCATAGATTCATCATCCACCCTTAAAAGTGATTGTACCTACAATTTAAAAGGACTGGAAGTTATTTCCCCAACTGTTCAGGGTCTTGGGAGGATGAACTGGATACAGAACTAACCTTCTGTCCTGTAGAGAGACTGGGCCGAATGGGCCCTAGTGATTTATTTTTATTAGTACTGTTCTTTTATATTGTTTATTTGTTAATGGGCCTAATTCTTATGGGCTTATTAACTCTTCTCTATTTTTTTAAGTAAGTGATGAATTGGCTGCCCACTTGAGGGCAAATTTGTAATTAGCCTTGATTTGGTAAAATATTAGAGAGCTAGGAGAGAGCCAGAGAGGGATCGAACTTTCTCTTTCTTCTCCCTTCTTCTCTTTTCTCCCTTCTTTTCTTGCTGAAAGTTGAGAACTATTTACAGATTTATTGATTTGAATCACATCTTGTCCAACCTTTCATGAGTCAGCCACTCTCATACCCAAAGCTGAATTCTAAATTCTAATGATGGTCAGCCCGAGAAATGGTCTGGTTTTTGGACTGCCTCTCCAAAGGACTAAAATCATAGAAAATGTAGAAAAAAGCAATAACTCAGAACCAGAATACATAGTACACAGATGATAATTCACTGAAGATCGAGTATAAAACAGTATATAAACCACCAGTCTCTTTCCTCCCCAGCCATGTCAGTCTTCCCAAGTTGCTTTTAGATGATCCCTTTCCACCAGCCTTGTAAAAAACTCCCCAGCTCCTCGATCTCCACCTGTAAATGGAAAGCCCAATATCTTACTTATCTTCACCATACGCTTTATTGATTCCTTGTCCACAGTTGAGTCATGATGCACTTCTGAATCTTTGTAAATAGGATTGAGTGTCTGGTATGGCTCTCTTTTAAGAAGTCTCTGAAAATACGATACCTTCAGTCCATTAGCCCTACCAATTTCAGAGCGTACAAACCTTGAACAGTTCCCTAAAGCACCAGTCACTATGACACATGTTCTATTGTCAGCCAGATTGACAAGAGACACTATTGCCTCTGGTTCAGTCACTGAAGAAGCATCCACCAGAAAAATATGACTAAAATGGCCAGCACATATTCCGTGCTCATGGAGCCGGGCGCTAGTAATATAGGTTGAAATTATCACTTTAAAATTCTGGAGCTCCTCAACTGAAGGCCAAGTAAATAACTCCTCCTCCTCTTCGTAAGAGCACAAAGGGAGGATATCATCAAGTACATCGTCATAACCTCTAAATGTAGCATTTCCTCTGAACATGTGGGACTTAGGAATCTCCTTCATCAAGCTTCCGAGCAACAAATCGCATGCTCTATTCCTGGATGTGCTTACGAGGATCCTACAGTCTGGAGAAGTTTGGTAAAGTTGGATGATCAATTTCTTAATAACCACTCCAGTTGTTGATAGTGTATCATGATGGGGATCTACAGAGAGTTGGCCCTCAATGAGATGAAGCCGTGAGCCACTGAGCAACCGTGATATCGTCTGTGCTAACAAGATCTCTTGAAGTTTGAGATTTTGATCAGAAGAGATGCCAAGTGAGGCAGGGATGCTGACTTTAGATACTTCATCAGGGAAGAGAAAGCTCCAGAAAAAAGGATCATATGATGCCTCAACTGCTTGGTGAGCCCGTTTTAAGCAGAATCTATTCAATTCGAAGGTAACATTATGCTTGCAGTTCCATGTATGTTGAGAAAGAAAATCACCTCCAAATTCAGCAATTATGAGGTTTCTTTGCCTCACAGCATAAATAATCCCCTATTTGGTAATTATGAACATACATATAAGATTTTGTATTTAGTAATGAATTTCGATTATGAAACTAAACATCACCATACACATATAATCAATTCATTTTCTACAAAAATACAATATGAGTTCCATTTTATGTCCAAAAGTTCCAAGGTAGATCTGTATTCAAGAAGCTAAGTATGCAATCTAAACTTAAGTGGGGAAAAAGAGAGAAAATGAAGTTACTGAGCTAATGGCACTCTGGGGAAAGTGTCCCTATATTCAAAGAAAATATGGAGGTATTCTGCTGAGTTTCTCAAGCTACAAATATGTACAAAGGTCAAAACTCAAATAGAAAACCAAAGTGCGCCACTATTTAACTTTACTTATTGAATGATCCTCACCATTTACCAAACATCATTATTGTGTTGGACCATAAAATGTTCACAACCTAGTTCACATAAGTGAAAAATGACTAAAATCATAAGAAAACTACCATGGCCAATGGTTAAATTAATGTCTATTTTACAGGTTGTAATTACTGGACAGAGGTGCAAAAATATTGAATGGTATCATACTTTCTCTATCTGTGTTGATGACTGATTTCTATCCCATAGAGAACGAATACAAATATATGGTGCCAACATGAATTTTAGATATTTACTAACAAAAAACTTGAATTTTAGATGGGCAATCCCTCAGAAGATAAAAAACACTTGAATTTTAGCTGGACAATCCCTCATTTGATAGGAATCATTGTGGCATTATTGATGTATGTTAATTGTGATAACTAGGGTTCTATACATATTGGATTGAACCCTAGGTTCCACAAGTGAATACTCCCACCTGTGAGATAGGAATCATCTTTGAGAACATTCAGAATGAAGAGGTGAATACCCCCACCTTTGAGAACTGTATGCCAATTAGAGGGCTTGTTCACAAAGGGGTTGCATCAACCCCTGATTGATTTTATCATCAACAAGCTGGATCTATATCACATATACACTCCAGCTCGAGGGGGTGTGTTGAGCATAGACTGTTATTTCATTTATTTAGACCTGGGTATTATTGCCTTTTTTCTTATTACTTAAATAGGGTGGTTAGGAAGTTATGAATTCTTTTTAGTTATGTGGTGATCTATGAATAGAGACCTGGATGGCTGGGATACGTATCTGCCCCTATATTTTCTGTTCTATTCTTCTTTTCAGGTCTGATATCATACTAGAGATTTCTTCCATTATACTGGAAACCTCTTCAAGGAACAACTGTTGCATCTTCTACATTGAGGTTTAGATCAAGGACACTCCTAACCTAATACTTAGATTTCCCTTTAGGAGACAGATACATATCAAAGTCGATATAGGGGCCAGTCATTGAGAGATTTGAAAGAAGGCTAATAGCTTGGAAGTGAAAGTACTTGTCAAAAGGTGGGAACCTTACCTTGATCAAAATCAACCTATCAAACCTAACCACATACAAATTTATCTTTATTCTTTATTTCCTATCCTAGTTTGTGTGGAGGAAAGGCTGGAAAAAACTAGCAAGGGATTTTTTGTGGCACAGTTGGAAAGGAGATCAGAAAATTTATCTAGTAGAATGGGGAAAAAACACATATGGAGGAGGCTTATTGCAAACACATTTGGAACTAAAAATTTTGATTGGGACCTGGGGATTTCTACAAGCACATATGGCTACTTGTTATGGAAAGGGATTCAAAAATGCTACCCCTCCTTCATAAATGGGTTGAGGTACAAGATTGAAAAGGGAAATAAGGAGTACATTTGGCAAGAGCCTTAATGGGAATTTTTCCCGGCTCTATTTACAGTTGCAACAGACAGAGGCAGTAGAAGTGAATTAGAATTAGGTGCTATGGGACAGGATGGTATAGAAATCTTCTTTCAAAAGAAAGCTAAATGACATGGCTGAGGAACTATGAGAATGCTTCTTGGCACTACAGACGTGTCAAAAGAGAGACAAGGAATTTAGCTACAGAGCTGGATGCAGGTTTCAACTGGATACAAAGAACAAAAAACAACATGGTGGATTCAATGGAAAAATCAGGGGTGAATAGGGCAGAATTGTTTTGGGAAACGTGCCACAATGATGTATTGGTGGGGTTGGATAGATGAGTGTAGTCTGGCGTAATAATAATATCTTTGTACATATTGTTCTTTGTTTTTAATATCAATAATGACTGGGGAATAAAAGAGTTGGTCAATTTGATATTGAAAATTGGTGATAACCTTTCAGTGCCAGACCAGGACAGTAGAATCTGGATATGGGACAGATCAGAAAAATTCTTAGTCAAATCTTTTTACAACCAGCTTAACAGACAAATAAGGGACAACTTCCCTTATAAATAGATCTGGCATCCACCAGTCCTATACAAGGTAACAATTTTGGTTTGTTCAGCTACCTTGGGAAAGTTTGTCATGTGAGATAAGCTAATTAAAAGGGGTATGGTGATACCAGAACCAGGCTGCCTTTTGTCAGCAGGTACTGGAAACTGCTGATACTTTTTCCTACACTGTCAGATCAGCTCTAAACTCTATGCACATTTCAGCAACATAATTTCAATTGGTGCTACTCAAGAACAATGGGGGAGTTTCTACAGAATGGAAAGGAAGCTAAAGAAGAAATGGTGATAAGGAGGGCAATGGCTGAAGTTCACTCTAGGGCAGCAGCCCATCAGTAGAACATAATTAAAACAGGGAGCCCACAACTCAGATCTTTGGTTGTATGGAGTCATATCTTTTTCCTACACTGTCAGATCAGCTCTAAACTCTATGCACATTTCAGCAACATAATTTCAATTGGTGCTACTCAAGAACAATGGGGGAGTTTCTACAGAATGGAAAGGAAGCTAAAGAGGAAATGGTGATAAGGAGGGCAATGGCTGAAGTTCACTCTAGGGCAGCAGCCCATCAGTAAAACATAATTAAAACAGGGAGCCCACAACTCAGATCTTTGGTTGTATGGAGTCATATCTTTTTGTCATTTCATTGTATTATCTCAATGTACATAAGATTATATGTGTACATGATTGCTTGATTTAGGCTGATAATACAATGCTTTGCCTTTCCATCCTCAAAAACAAAATTAAAGAAAAAAAATTGAGGAGATTTGAGTCATGACTTCACAACCTAAAGGAAACTGAAATTAAATTACAAATTTGAAACTATGCATGATTTTTAATTTCTAGGCTAAGTTCCTTTTCTTTGTTCACATTGATGCCAACAAATGTTCAAGAACTAACCTGAAATTGAACTTCCTTTCCTGAAGGCCGTACATAGACATAGTCCCTTGATAAAAAGAATGGTCGATGCTTGGGGTCCAAATCAATTTGGAATTCTACAAATATCTTTTTGTCACTTTTCTTTTTCTTGATTGCTTCTCGCTTCTTCTTGATCTCTCCTTTATGCAATTTCAGAGTGACATTAGGCAAATGGAAATCCTTCCATTTCTCTTTCCACTTCTGTTGTGAAGGACAGAGCACAGTAGGAAAAGTTGAGTACAATCTAAGCAAAAAAGGAAGAAGATTGCATGAAAAACAAAAATAGTAAATAAATGATTAAAATAAATATGCTAAATACAACAACATATTGCATAAATAGAAGCTCCAAGCACCCCTCTTTCGTTTGCACTGTTATACTTCATTTTCTCTCAGTTGAAAAAAAAAAGAAAATTCAGGTACAAAAAGTAATGGTGATCAAAAACCTTTAAAGAAGCAGATATAGAGACAGAATTATTTGTAGTCTGAGTACTATAAATTTTAACTACAATGTCCTTGATTAACTCCTTGATATCAATGGTAATTGCATGAGTAGGAAACAAGTCAAAAGTGTTGGAAATGCTGTATGGAAATACTATAAAAATCATAGACATGGTGGAAACATTGTGAAATATGTGAAGATATAGAATGATATTTTATGAAATGATAAAATAAGCATGGGTACAACCTTTTAAATTATTATCCTGTTCCAAACTATCAAAAAAAGCTAAGAAACTAAAGTTAATAAACATCCATGAACTACAGGAGTCAAAGTTACATCATAGAGTGAGTTCAAGCAAGAGTTAAACATAGAAAGCACAAATGGTTCTAATAGATCAACCAAACGGTCCATTACATTAATAAAAACTAAAGGTTCAACTTCATGTTTGAAAATAATTTCGAGTTGGCTAAAAGTGATAATCATGTCCATTAGGAAGGCAATAATAATGCTACTCCACATATGACATATCTACAATATTGTTGCCAACTTATGCTTTAATACCATCTCTTGTACTCTACATAGTGTCAGAAGTTTTCAATGGGGAATATGTCAGTTCTAGTAATATTTTGTTCAGTCCCCAGGGAAATAGAAATATGTTGTGGAAATATTAGGAACTTTTGTTCACACTTAATACATATTGAGTTACTTAACAACAAAAAAAAAAGGAAACATATGGTCATTTAATTTTTTTTTTTTTTGGGGGGGGGGTATTTTGATAGATCCACTATTTTAATAGGTTTTGAAGCATATTCCTGGAGGTGTGCGCACTCAAAATTCCCTAAAGCATATTCTGAAGGCATGGATGCCTTTGATGCATATATGCCTCATGCAAAAGGCGTTTTAAATGCATACATCTCATGCATCTAATTCATGCCTTGGAAGAAGAAGATCATGCCTATTTTCCACTTACTAATGCTACTCCTCTTGAGGATGCTTACACCTCTTGCATTTTGAGCTCCCTCATGCCTCCGGGTAATGGAATGCCTCATGTTATGCCTCCGCGTTTTAAAACTTTGGGTAGATCCAGTGGAGATAAAGGTGGCATGGATAACAATTGAGGAGGTAGAAAGATGGAAGTGGCATAGAGAGATAGGGAGATGGCTTAGAAGAAAATGGAGGAGGCTCAGATGAATACAGCAAGCATAAAAAAATCAATAAAACCAGTATATTGAATAGAGAAAATCAGAACCTCCAACCACCACTTTCACATTTTGCATGTTTTTACAGTATTCCAATACATTGTGGAATTGAAAAATCAAGCAATAAAAGCAATGACATTCAACAGTCTTCAGGTAAAAAATATATGTAAATACATTTATTAAAAAAAACCTACAGAAAAAGTTTCTAGTCTGAATAATAAAGCAAATTTCCACCATTACACTAACCACAGAAAAACATGTGGTGGGTAAGTCAAATTTGATATGTTGGACTTGGGTCATCTAGGAGGGATGCCAGGATGCCTAATGACTTTGATACAAGTTCTGTGCCGCTATATTTGCATGTTAACGGTTAACCAAAGTTACAAATGACTCTAGCAAGCCAATTTTCAGTTATTAGGGAAGAATTTATATAAGGATTAAGGAAAAAAAAAAAAGAAAAGGCAGCAGGAGAAAAATTAATAATCCAGATGAGTAAACAAAGCATAAATAAGATAGCTACAAAAATGAGCTAAGAGCCAATGGATCTAAACACCTGCAACCACCCAAGAGAAGGAACAAATAAGGAAATCCTTGAGCTCATGGGATAAAATCATCATAGTGGATTCTCAAAATATAGACCTCATGGAGGCCTTGCAGAGCAGGAATCCTAGGTCAAAAAGAAGCCAAGTGCAACTGCTTGCAGTAGTTGATCAAGATACAGTTGCTAGCATTTTGTTAGATATGTATAGAGAAGATACTATTGAATTATTCTGCAAAATATATAGAAAAAAGATTGAACATAATGATATTTATACTTGTTCAAACTAATAGCAAAAGGGAGCCGCGTGCAACTGCTTGCAGTAGTTGATCAAGACACAGTTGCTAGCATTTTGTTAAATAAGTATAGAAAAGAGATCATTGAATTATGCTGCAAAAGGAATAGAAAAAAAACCCTGAAATAATGATATTTATACTTGTTCAAACTAATAACAACATTTCTATTGCAGTTCATTTAAATTCTTATAATCACTTAATTGCCACTATCTACAATATTCTTCTTTCCCAATAGAAAGTTCAGCAAAGATCGCCAACTAAAAAAAAAAATGTAGCTTGCAAACTCCATGTATTCAAAAAGATGTCATAATTATGGCATCAGAACTGAATAATCAGAATTTACAAATACCTTTTATGGTTTGGCATATTTTTCTTTGGATATCACAGATTAGATATACACATTATAACTGATAGAGATTATTCATGATAGAAAGTGAAAATCATTTCTATACGTGAAGGGGACATATCAAATAGATTTTATACAATTTGCCAGTGGCAAACAGAGTCTTAACCACCAACCTATAGGTGTTGGGTTACCCTAAACTTAATAGTCATGCAAAACTTGTCGGATTCGTTAATAAAGAAAAGAATTCTTAACAGAGATGATAAGAATTATTTAATCAACTGTTAATGATTAATCCTTTTAGATAAGGGTTGTTCTATACCTCAACGTAGAAGTCCTCAGCATAAAGCAAAGCAGCAAAATAGTCTTTATAGGTTGACGGAGATAAAGGTTTCTTGAGAACTCCAGGTACAATGTCCTTCTCGATCAAATCCTTGAAATCCTCAGGAATTGCATAAATAGGTATGTTATGCTTCTTTACCCAAATTTGCTTTGTGGGTTGTTTTGGTAGGTCTGATGGAGTTGGAGAAAATGTTGACTTAGAGAAAACTGGAGGAAGTTTGGAGATTTGAGGTAGCACAGTGGAAGACGATGATGACAAGGTTGGAGATGGCCCAGTGGAGGATGGAAGCGACTTGGTGAAAGATTGTAGTGACCCAGAGGAACATGAAGATGGCTTGCAGGAAGGTAGCACAGTGGAAGACGATGATGACAAGGTTGGAGATGGCCCAGTGGAGGATGGAAGCGACTTGGTGAAAGATTGTAGTGATCCAGAGGAACATGAAGATGGCTTGGAGGAAGGTAGCACAGTGGAAGACAAAGACGAGGTTGGAGATGGACCAGTGGAGGATGAAAGCGACTTAGTGGAAGATTGAAGTGGCCCAGAGGAAAATGAAGATGACTTAGAGGGAGAGGAAGTCAGCCTAGATGAAATTGGAGGCCGCTCAAAGGAAGATGGAGGTGGCCCAGAGGAGGATGGAGAAGCCTTGGAGGAAGAATGATGTTGCCCAGAGGAACATGGAGACAACTTAGAGGGAGATGAAAGAACCCCAGATGAAGTCAGAGGTGGTCTGGATGAAAATTGGGGTGGTCTAGAGGAGGACAGATGTTCCTTCGAGGGAGATGGAGGCACCCCAGAGGAGGCTGAAGGTAGCTTAGACAAAGGTGGAAGTGGGTCACAAGAGGACAGAGGCGGCTTGGATGAAGATTGAGGTGGTTCAAAGGAAGATGGAGAGGGCTTGGAAGAAGATGGAGGCTTTACAGAGGAACACTGGGACGGCTTAGAGGAAGACAGTGATGGTCTAGAGGAGTCTGGAAGTGGATTAGGTAACCATGGAGATGACTTGCAGGAAGATGGAGGCGTAGTCGCAGAGGAGGTTGGAGGTGATGTGAAGGAAGATGATGAGGACTTGGAAGAATGCAGATCAGGTAGGTCAGTCAAAGGAGATGTTGAATTTTTTGGCACCTGAGAAACACGGTAAGAACTTTCCAATGAGCTGTTGATGCGTTGCTGATTAATAACTCTGGATGGATAAGATAGTGGTGAAGGAGGACGTATTGTGGTGTGATCAGTGTTTGTGAAATAACTCAGTGAAGGAGAAGGGCTCCTATCTAGAGTTACATAGTGATGACGGTTGACATCATCTTCGTTGCAGCACAAGAGACATCGCAGAATTTCAAGAAAAAAATCCATTTTTTTCCTTCTCAAGAATCCACAAAGCAAGGTAGCATGCAAAGGAAGATCGTTCGTCGTCAGAATTCAAAACTTTGAAGATCTGGAATCAGAAGAAAGTCCGACTAGTATGATTAAAATTTTTAAGAGATAATACATTGATCATAATGGAAACCGGCTGCAGCAGCATATATCAAACGCAAAGAAACACAGAAACACGTCGTATTTGCTTAGAGAGATCAGAAAAGCTAACCTTTCGAAGAATCGGAATACAGAGAATTCTGGGTAGCCTAGGTTTCAGAGAGCAGGCATGCAGTCGATGATCTTCGTAGTGACCTCAGTATCATGTTGGTCAGTGTGCTGCCATTTCTGCATATAAAACTTCCAGGTATATAAACTGGTAATGGTGAGGATCGAAGAAAGCAGCCGCTCTCGACGAATTCTAGCATTTGGTCGACTCCTTGGAAGCTCCAAGTGCGTTGGTAAAGCTGACAGTGCACTTTAGCAGCTCAGTAAAGAAGAAGACAACTTAGCACAGTTATGTAGACTTAGCGAAGAGAAGTCAATTCAATTAAAGGGTGAATTGCTAAAACCTCAATTAGTTTTCTGATAATAGCTAAAACCTCCCCTTCTGAGGTAGATTTCTCTGTTTCCGCCCCGTTTGATGCGTCATGTGATGGCTTTTTAGAAGCCTGGCACCCCTATTTTTCACTTTTCCTGTATGGTTGGAAAAAGATTTATTATCAAAAGACTCAGTCATGAAAAGATGTACATCAAGATCTTTATACAAAAACTCACATTGTATTTTAATTGTTAAATCTTTAACTCACATTGTCTTTTGGTTGTTAAATCTTCCAAAAGATATTTCAAAAAAAAACTGTCAATCTTCCATCTTCATCTGAACATGCCATTTAATTGTTTTTCATGTCAAGCAATTTACTACCATTCACAACGACCTCACAGGATCCCATTGTGTATTGAGAACATCTCCCATAAATTATAACACATAAGTACGAGAGATGTTCTCAATGCACGGTGGGATGTGCCTGTGGAGTCGGTGTGAGGCGTCATGTGTGAGGAGCAGATGCGGTCTCGCCATTTATCTCCTCCTTTCCTATGAGGATTTGGAAAATTTCAATTAGTTCGTATCTGTGTCAGTGCGCCCCACATGCACATTTCAGCATGCATTGGGAATTATCATTTGGAGATATTCTCAATACATGGTTGAGATGTGCTGTCGGACATAAATGCGAAATTCACTTTTATTTAAAAATATTTTTAAAAGTTAACTGATGGAAAATTGATAAAAGGGTTAAAGAGTTAGAATAAGAAAATTCAAGAGGTATTTATCACAAATAAAAGTTTAGGCTTAATTTGGAAGGAGTACAAATGCAAATATGTACAGTGCAAACCATGAATCCATACAAAATAATACAAAATATAAGATTTTGCACTCTACATATTTGCATTTATACTCCTTCCAAACTGAGTCTTAGGGATTAATTATCATTACCGGGCAATGAATAATTTACTCTAATTATTTTTATAATAAATATCAATTTATATTATATAAATTATTGGTGCAGGTCATGAGTTATATCAAAGTAATCATGTCATTCTTTATAAAAAAATATAATATCATTAATCAAGAAGAATAAAAGACCCTACAATCTACACCACCAGGGATGTGTAAGATAAAAGATTAGTTCCATAGGGGCAGTCTCAACATCTGAAGATAACCGTAGGACAAGCATTATATTGTCAAGCTCGGCTGCACTAACTCGTCATTTCCAAACTCAGAACTCTCCCAATAAGTAACCCAGCACAGAAGCCAATAAGGGGGGAGCCCCTAGCTAGGCAGTTTGATGTTTTTAGAACCTCCTAAATAGCCAACTGGCAAAGCTCAAATCATATAAGTGGGTTGTGGTTTTTAAAAAATTCTATTGATCTCTATTTGGTTTGCAGGAATAGGAGTTTAGAATCGAAATTGGAATGAGCTATTCTGATTATAACTGTTTGGTTGGGTAGAAATGGAATTCCATTCTCATTCCTGGTGGAATGGCATTCCCCCATTGAGGGAATGGCCATTCCCTCTCCCTCCCTTGAAAATAAAATCCCATTCCTGCTGATTCCAATTTTCATTTCTATTCCTGTCTGAACCAAACAGAGTATGAGAACATATATATACCATTCTGATTCTAAAGAATTTCGATTCGGATTCTGATTCCTATTCCCACTGCAAACCAAAAGAAATGTTTTGGAGCAACACAAATCCGGCTTTCTTCTTGACATGATAAATGACTCCAATTCTCCATGGAATACGGATCTATAATTACATCATCACAAATCTGGCCCATGGGCTAGCATGAGTGATTAGAATTGCCTAGCAGATGATGCAGACAAAGCTGGAGGCCAGGCCTTGAAACAGCTAGGGTTAGTAAAAGGCACAGGTCTTGGATCTTGAACGTTTCAGGCTACATTTGGCATTCCTTATTTTAAGAACTTATCTCATTTTTACGGTTAAAATGCCACTATGGACACTGAGTTTTTAACTGTAAAGAGGAGGTAAATCCTTAAAATAAGAAATACCAAATGCAGCCTAATTGGATATGGACTAACCCCAAATGGTGATGCAATTTTGGGGATGAAGGGTCTATGTAGTATGTATAAGTTAGCCAGAAAGTCAGATGTCTTTAGAAACAATAGCAAGAGATGGAACAAAGAGGTCTTTCTTAACACTAAAGAAAATAGAAATAAAATCAAGAGTTAATTACAATCTCTTGCAAGTAGACCTGTTCATGACCTAGGCTGGGTTTGGGCTGGACTTTGCCTCTATATTAATAAAACATATTTAGGCCTGAGCCCAAGCCTGGCCCAACCATTAGGCCTAGATCTTGAGCCCAAACCCTAGGCCCAAATCTGAAGGCCAACCAAAAAGTTGGGCAAGAAGATTTCTTTTTGTCTTTATTCAGCAACAAAACAGATTTATTTATATGTCAGGTTGGGCTGGTGCTTGGATAGGGATTTTTTGAGAAAGCCCGAGCATGGTTCCAAAAAGTCGGCTTGGTGTTTGGAGCTGAAGCTAGAGACTGAGCCTAAAATCTTGTTCAAGCCCAACCATGAAGGGGACAGGTCAGGTCGAGCCAGCCCATTGAGCTCCCACTACCCAGCCCATAAATAGGTTTACTTGTGAGCCCAACAAAGCATCTTAAAATTGGCCAAAATGGGCCAGGACAAAGCCCAAAGTTTGGATTGGTATAAGTAGGATCATTTCAGTTAGGAAATTTACCATTTTGCCCCCACAATTGAAGATGACAATAGATTTATATGTTATGATAAATAACATTATCAACAATAAAACATTTATAAAATATAAATAAGAAAATAAAAAGTTATAAAGTATTAATAAAATACTATTTTATTTTTTATTAGTCTATTGCTTTTGTTATTGTTTTGTAATTTTAACTTCAGTATTTTATTACACTATTATCATCATCATCATTGATAAAATATTAATACTAATAATAAATTAAGCATGAATAAGATGCATGGAGCCATTTTAGGAATAAAAAAAAATAAGAATGTAGTTAGTTTTGATGTTTGGACTTGAGGAATAAGAGGTCTTAAAAGAAGAGAACAGCCTGATGTCCTTGTCTTAAAATATTGTACTTTAGTTTGTAACAATATTTCATGTGTTTGAATCATACATGTAGAACAAGCATGGCAAATCAACTTGCAGAACTGTTCCAGAGAAGCAAATCAAGATGCCAATAGATTAGCTAACATAGCAGTCCATCAACAAGTAGACAGACTTAAATCTTATGCACTCTACTATGACCTTATGGTTAATGTGTATGAGATAAGTACTGATAGGTTGTGTTAACGTTGTAGTCGTTGTGAGTTCTTTAATACATCCTCCTACAGAACTATAGTCTGATCACAATGTAAGAGTCACAGAAAAAAGCAATGGAAAGGTCCACATTAATTCCTCATTCCTGATACGCGATACGGGCACTAAACATAGGATGAAATGTCTTGTATTGCTCGATTTGCAGCAGCCTCTGAAAATACGATATCTCCAATTCGTGCCGCCTAGCAATATCTGAGCGCACCCAATGAGAAAAATTCCCAGAGGAACCAGTCACGATGTGACAGCAGTTTCCATGTTGACCAGATGGACAAGAGACACCATGGCCTCTGGTTCAGTTGCCGAAGAAGCATCCACAAGAAAAATGTGGCTAAAATGACCAGCACTTATGCCATTTTCATGGAGCCTGAAGCTACTGACGAAGGTCGATAATATCACCCTGAAGTTCTGTAGTTCCGCAAGTGAAGGACAAGAAAAGCACTCGATCCCCTTCATATCGGCATGAAGAGAGAACGTCATCAGGCACCAAGTCGAGCTCTCGAGATGCAGCATTTGCTCTGAACATATCTGACACTGGAATCTCCTTCATCAAGCTTTCCAGGAGCACATCACATACTCTGTTGGTGCATGCGCTTATAAGAATCTGATAGCTTGGAGAGGTTTTATTAAGATGGAGGACAGCTTCGATCTCGGATGATCAGTCCTGTTCTTGATGGTTGATTTGTATTAGCCAAACCCAAAAAAGGAGGGCCATCAATGAGATAAGGTGGTGGACCTTTGAGTCTTGATATCTTCTCCACTATAGAGTCCTTGCTGGGATAGTAAGTGCTGAACAATGGAGGGGGGGGGGTGTTGATATCAGCCATCTGGTTAGGGAAGAGAAAACTCCACAACGTAGGCCTGGTGGCAGCTTCAACTGCTTGGTGAGCTCGCTATAAGCAGACTCTGTTAAATGAGAAGCTGACATTATACTTGCGGTTTGGCAAATGCTGGGAATGAAAATCATCTCCAAACTTGGCCAATATAAGGTTGCCCCTAATAATGCAGTGTAGAATACCCTGTTTTGCAATTGGGGTTCCAAATAATCAGACTAAAATAACATCAGTCATGTTCTGTTACAAATGATTTCAGAAGATGAGATCTCTAGAAATTAAACAACTTAGGATCCTTTTGGTGTCTGCAGTCAAAATCGGAATCGGAATGGAACCGAAATCCTTCAGAATGGTCCATTTCCATAGTTTGTTTGGCTCAGACAGGAATGAGAATGGAAATTGGAATCAGCAGGAATAAGATTTAATTCCCAAGAGAGGGGTAGGGAATGGCCATTCCCTCAAATAGGGGAATGCCATTCCATCAGGAATGAGAATCAGATTCCAATTCTACCCAACCAAACAGTTAGAATCGGAATAACCCATTCCGATTCCAATTTCAGACCCCTATTCCCACAAACCAAACGGGGCCTTAGTTTCAAAAGAAAAAGGAAATAAAAGTTAACAGGCCCATATATATTCAAAGAATATAAAGAAGTTCTTATGACATCTTTTCTCGAATTCGGATTAGTTGAACGCTTTAGCTGTTCATCAGGCTGTGGCACCAATGATAATTCTCCATGTACACCAGTGATAAAATACATGGGCCCACACTGAGAGGA